TTTTTTTTTTTTTTAAGATTTTATTTATTTATTTATTGGGGGGGTGAGGGGAGGGGGAGAAGAAGAGGGAGAGGGACAAGCAGACTCTGCATTGAGCATGGAGCCTGACACGGGGCTCAATCTCACCACCCTGAGATCATGACCTGAGCTGAAATCAAGAGTCAGACGCTCAACCGACTAAGTCACCCAGGCGCCCCCTGACTGTGAGGATCAAAACGGGACAACAGACAACTGTGCATACTGGTCAGAGTGCGGACACAGGCCACCCCAGAGCTGCCGCTCCCCACAGTTCTAGGCCATGGCCACAACACACACTCTCAGTCTCAGAGTTCAATAAACCTCATTACATGGATACCCCACTGAGTCAGAAGAGGAAAATGCCCACTATGACTTCACCATTTCCTAACAGAGAAGGAAGGGCACCATTTGTCCTCTGTAACTTGAGATTTAGAAAACACAAACCTAACATCATGCATTGCTTTCACGTGTACTTTTTTTTTTAAGTGGGGCCTGGAGTTGATGACCCACAAATCTCCATCACGCCCATGTCCTGATCCACGTATGAGCTTCCTACTCACCCTCAGCAGGGATAGGACTGGACCACATGCCGGGGTCAGCTGAGTCGATGGCATTAGGAAAAGCTGCACCATCGTGGGGGCAGCATGGCCTTCAGGCCTCCTCTGCTTCATCCCTAGACACCCTCGCGGAGCCAGGGGCCAGACAAAGGTGGCACAATGGAGACCGGGCCACCCAGACAGCTGCTGCTGTGGCTACCTATCCCCCCCATGGCTCTGTGATGCCCTCCCCCCAGAGAAGGGCCGAGAAGGGGAGAGAAAGGGCGGGGTGAGGAGCAGCATTAGCATTTCTGCAGGACCTACTGTGTGCCAGCCACTGCGTTAGTGGCTTACCTATGTGGTCTTTCAACGTGTACGGTAACCCAACGATGCCGACATTATGACTCCCATCACATGAACAAGGAAAACGCTGGCGCTATCTGAGCAGTGCACCAAAGATTTGGGACCATCACTGACCTTTCCAAACCCAGAGAAAGGGCCAGCCCGGCATACAAATCCTTTCCCAACTGTATCCTCTGACACTCCCACCCCCATTGCTCTGAGTTATGAGCTGCCACCACATTGCTGAAATCACCTTCGTCTGTCCCATGGACCTTGTCAAGGTCAGAAATGCCGTAACACACTCAGCCCTCCTGTGCTCTCTCTCCTTCTTTGGCTGAAGTCAAAGGAAAGCTCAGACAGAAGGGCTATGAGAGAGGAGGGGCTGTGCTACTACTTAGCAAAAAAATGATTTCTGAACCCACAACAGTCAATCTCTGACATTCTTATTTTTAGGAGACACAACCTGCAAGCTTCAGACTGTAAGCACTGAAATGATTCAGCAAAAACAAAAACAAACACAGAAAACTCACACACAAGTAAATTTGGCAAAACATTCACTGTTAACTACAAGTAGTAGGAACACACAGGTGTTCACTGTGCTAGCCTTTCAACTTTTCTGTATATTTAACATTTTCATAATAAAAAAATTAGTTTTTAATTGCTTCCCTAACTTACTGGTTGCTAAATACACAAGCAAAGCCTAAAACAAGTATTTTCATTACACAGATCATCATTAACTTTTTATTTTCTAAAGTGAGGTTTTCCACAAAGGCTTTCCCTACACCCGAGTCAAATCTGCAGTAACAACTTCCTTTGGCTCTAGGGGTGCTGTTCCCCCTGACGGAGGGAGAAACCAACTGGCACAGACCAACAAAGGGTATTTTCCCCTAAACTGTTATTTACTCAGGGTGGAAGAACTTGTTTGCTTTAATTTTTTGTGGGAACAAATGGGATTTAAAGCTGGAAGCACCGTTTATTAATAGCTGGGTTTTAACTCCCCCAGGCCAGGGTCTGGACCCCTCATCCCCAGCACCGGCCGCTATGATGCTTCCCACGTGATAGGCGCTCAGAAGATGCCCGCTGGTGACAACAGCAGTAAGTCGGGAGGAAATTAATTCTGAAATCACTCTTCCTCTGGCTGCCGACACAGAGCTGGCAGCTTCCACTGCAATCGGGACAGGAGTGCGAAAAGGCTGGGTTAGCTGCAGAAATAAGCTTTAAAGATGCACAGACACTTACTTCCCAGAGCTGACTCCTTTCATGTGGTCTGTGTAAATATAGATATCGGGTATAAACTTGTTGAGGATGCTCCTTGCAGAATCCACGATCCGGTTGGCCATCTGCGGTGATACGCGCACGGAGTACCTGCAATCCACGGTTAAGGGTGCCATTCTGCTTGGACTCCACACAGAGAAAGGTCTGTTATAAAGCTAGCAGCTATTTGTGGAACTGTAATAAAATGCCATTCTAATGCCATTCTATTTTCCAACTGTATTTAATTGCTTAACTTTGTCGTAATACCTTAAGTCGATTTTTAGATCATTACTTTTATTTATTACTGTATTACTATATAGTTTTTATATTATTGTTATAAAACAATCACAATGAAAAACACACAGATGTAGAGAGTTGGAAAGTATAAAATAAGAGTTCCCAACCCTGCTCTAGAGTTCCTACCCAATGCCCCTCCCCTCTCCGAGATATGGTTCAACTCAATTTCGGAACAAAAGGAGACAACGGCCTGCCTGTCTGGCATGAGCCAGGCTCCCTTTGAAGTGTTCTCCGACCCTCCTCACTGCTGGAACCACTGAGTCTTTCCCTTGCAAACCTAAGGCCAGAACAGACACACCACACTGGGGCTCACCTGGGCCAGTCCCAATCCACCCCTGGTCTGTTCACAGGAAAAGCAGAAAAAGATTAGTGAAAGAGAGTACAGTAGCTGTTCATAAAGATCTTAATAGGTTTGTTGCAACTCACAGAGCTTATTTTCAATTATTTGTCATTTACTCCATTTGTGGATAACACAGGCTCCTCACAACTGCTACCTTATAATAAAAGTATTGATAATTAGCATGTTTACACCACGGCACCCCAGAAAGAAAAGGAGGAAGATAAAAGCAACTCAAATGAAAAGACTGGTGTTTTGTTTTGTTTTGTTTTTTAATTTTTTGAGAGAGAGAGCGCACATGGCAGGGGTTGGGGGGGCAGAGGGAGAGGCAGAGAGAGAATCTTAAGCAGGTTCCATGCCTAGTATGGAGCCCAATGTAGGGCTCAATCGCACAATGCTGAGATCATGACCTGAGCTGAAATCAAGAGTTGGATGCTGAACTGACTGAGCCACCCAGGGGCCCCAAAAAGGCTGATTTTTAAGGAAACAGAAACAATTACCTAAAATTAGACTTTATTATAGAGACTGGCTCTCCCCAATGCCACGAATCCAAAAATAAATAAGTATGGAGCACTTTCGATGTGCAACGTTCAGTCAAGAGGTGGCTACATACGTGGGACAAGGGGTTAAAGAAAGAGAGAAGTAACAACATGTGATCTTCCCATTACCCTGACACAAACCCCACATGGCAAGTCCAACAGGGAAAACAAGGTGTGTGGTCTGCCTATTCCAACCCAACTGTGCAAAAATTACCATCAATGACAAATTCAATTTTCATTTGAGCTGCAGAAATGAAATGCTCAGAGACTGCAAAGACCTTGGCTGGCATCTAGCTCCCCTCTCTGATCCACCCTGCACCCTCCACTGAAAGATCAATCTTCCTCATGCTAGTGAGAATCCGCAGTTCCCTTAGTCTGGACCCTCCCAGACCTCACGGTCAGTCTGTCTGCTCAGTGTCCATCCCCCCATCCCGACACCATTACCCCCACCACTCACCCAACTGTTCAAATTCTCCAACCTGAACCGTCTTCCTTCATTTTTCCTTCCTTCTCCCCCACACCCTCCAGCCAGAACCAGACCGTGGTCTTCACTTGACCTTACCGTACGTCTCCCTTCATCTACACATGTCCTTGCCCATCAACCAAGACCATGCCTTCCATAAGAAGAGGGGCTCTGCTTCCGTATGGAGCAGAGCTCTCTGATGACTCTCATACCCTACTTTTGTACTCAGCAATACTCAATAAATATTTGACTTGACTCAAAGGACAAACCTGAAGTGAGGAAAGAGCAAAGAGGGATTTTTCAATACACACACAAGGCCCCGTTACATCACCACCTCTCTGTCCAGAGTGTACTTTTGGCCACAGGCAGCTTAGACAAACAATCCTGGGTCTCATACCCTTTGGACTGGGTGGGTGCTATCCTTCTGAGCCTGATGCTGCCCACTCTCCTAAGGAGAGCACAGATGTCACCATCCTGACATATAATCCCACAGCATCCATGGCTCCCAAAATTCTTTCAGGTACATTAGCAATTGATCTTATGCTCACAGTGACCCCATGAGCCACAGCCATGGATTCCTACTTCCAGGGCTTAAACTGAGGACAACCAGGTCACAGAAGTGAGATACAAAATTGAACAGATTTGACTTCATAAAGACAACCTCCTCCCTCCAACCCCCACAGACATGTGGAAACCGGGTGAGGAACTGTACCAACTCAGGACCAGTGGAGTCCTATACCAGAATCCTGGCAGTGGAGATGGACAAGGTGGCTATATGCCAGAGTCACCATGGAACCATCCGGCTTGGTGTGAAGGACCTACCAAGGAATGGCTAAGAGTTCTAGAATCAGACCATCTGTACTCAAGTGCCAGCTCCAGCAAACTGCATCATTCTGGGTCTGGTGTGTGTCCACCTCCTCATCAGTAAGAGAAGAATAATCACAACATTCTCCTCCCAAGGTTTGGAAGCTCAAATGAAATAATGCATGTAAAGTGCTTAGTGGTGCCTGGTGTGAGGTAAGAGCCCAATGAACGCCGGCTATTGCTTTTCTTGCAGTTAGTCCAAGATTCAAACCCCAAAGCAGAGGTTCCTATCCTTTCAGAAATCAGAGACCCCTCTGGGAATCTGATGAAAGCTATGCTCATGTCATTTTGCAGACAATTTCAGGGGACTGTGAATCTCCTGAAGCCCTTATATGAATACCATATTAGGAACTCATATCCAAGAGAGACAATTTCACAGCTACAGGCCATATGGAACTCCTACCCTTATCCCTCCCTGGTGTCCCAGGTCAGAGAAAGTACACACAAGTGAGCAAAGTGTGTGTGTGTGTGTGTGTGTGTGTGTGTGTGTGTGTAGAGACAAAGAGGCTGATTCTCTAAGTACCTGCCCTACAATCAGAGAAAGGAAACCAGTTTGTCCTACAAATTCCAACTCACTCCCATCTTCTGTCTCTACCCCAGCTTCTTCATTTGACTCTTATGTACCAGATCATGAGCTTCTGGGATAGTGCCACAAACTGAAAAGAGAGTGCTCCCTTCTCCCCACCCCCCTCCTCAGGCAGGGGGAGAATGAGAGTGGGTGGCATTAAATAAAAGGTAACCACACTGTCCAGTCACTGCTGCTGGCACGAACCAACACCGGCTCCCTCCCACGCCCTGGACAGCCGGTCCAAGAGGGAAAAGATGCGCTCTGGGGGGTAACTCAGTTAAAGCCACAACCACCCACAAGAGCAGGGCCAGTTCTCCTGACCCAAGCCCTCCTATGGGGAACGCAACCTCCAAGCTCAGACCAACAGTTAACCAGACTTGCAAGTAAAAAAACCCTATAAAACCAGCTAAAGCTTTTTTCCAAAGCAGCTCTTTTTCCCCAGGCCCCAAAACTGGCCAAGAAGGTGATCTCAGTTCAAACCCACATTCCACTGAGGTGTTTGTGAAAGGGGCAGCTCTGGAGACCAGCAGCTGGAATGTCTGGTTTGCAGACAAGAATCTGAGCAAGGCCACTTGTATCTACTTTCCTGGGGAATTGGGAGGAAGACTCTGCAGGTCTGATGTGTCAGGAAGATTCAGGTGTCCGAGCCCCAGCCCCAGGCAAGGGGCTCTCCAGTGTCTTCCTGGCACTGGTTCTATACCGGGAAGGCTTAAAGAACACCAGAGGGAGAAGCCACGGAGGAACAAAGTTACACCCCAGTGCGCGGGGCTCTTTTGTGTCCTCCTCTGTGCGACCCCCAAGGCTTCCCCATTTCTCAGCGTCCTCATCCAAGGATAACTCATGAGGCTTTTGCACACCCAGTACTCCAAGTACCGTGGGACCCCAGGAGGCAGTCTCTGTGAAACCTACATAGTTACCACAAGACTGTGTCAAAACAAACAGAGCACACTCTGGAAATCACATTTCCAGACTACAGGGAATAGATTCCAAGCAGAGTTCACCACCACGCTAGAGCTATTAAAGGGAACAAATCTCAAATGAGTAAAAACAAACTCAGTCCAGAGCGTGCATAGGATTTTGCATGCAAGGCCGTCAACTGCAGCGTGTTCAGCAACAGAGGAAAATAGAAAGCAAGTCAATGACCACCAGCAGGGTTTCATCCTGGCTTCTTTATATGGTAAAATACAGTGCGCCTGTTAGCGAGAATGAGATTGAGTAAGTGCCAAGGGTCAAGTAGAAAAGGCATATTTGGTTAAAAAAAAAAAAAGAAAAAAAACCCCTACCTACTTGCATTTCCATTTCTCTATGGAGAACATCACCTTAGAAAGTCAGTTTAACCACATGCGTCAATCTGGGGCCTCCCAGGACAGGAACTATATCTCCCCCCGCTGCCCACTCTCTCATTTTTACCGGGGAACGGCCCTGAGACACACCCCAGGAGAGCCGAGCAGAGAGAACAGGCCAGGCCGCCGTCCAGGGAAGCTCTGTTTTACATTCCTCTTATCTTGAGGATTTCTACAAACTTCAGGCAGCACCCTTTTATCTCAACAACGGCTTTCTGTGCCTGTGGCTGTGCCAACCACCCTATTCCCCTCACCACTTACCGTTCAAGCTCATCAAGGCCTCTCCATACTTCTCCTCCAAGTAGGACCACCCCAAAACCTCCTGAGAAACACAAAACTTGACTTTTTAGCACCTAACCCACCCCTGAGAAGCACACACCCTGATCTACCCCCTTTGTCAAAGTCCCACCAGGAAAGCCATCACCCAACCCCATCCAGCCCCCTGGCCTCCAACACCTGCCCTCCCCCAGATCGGCACCCAGAATTTTACTACTTTTAATATCTGAAACCCCAAAATACAATTCCCCCAACACAAGTTCTTGTTCGTCTGCCCAGCACACATACCTGCTGCCCCTCCATCTTTAGAGCTATTTACATTCAATCTTTGAATCTGGTAAGCGTTCCAATCCCTTGACCAGATGTCCCTCTACCCCATCCTACTGCACCAGTCACTCTCTGCCATCCGTACCCAGCCCCGGATGAACTGACCCTCTGGCCTTCCCGTCCCCTCCCTCTGGGCTGCCAACTGCTGCCGGACGTGGCCACATGGCCACCCAGCCGACACAATGATAAAATCTCATCTTCAGCTGAGCCCTTTACTGCTGTCCCCCAGCCTTGGTCTTCCCTTCAGCTGCTGTGCCTCACTGTGACAGCACACTTTTACACCTGTCACACGGTCTTATCATCCTTCCGCTAATGCCCTTATCCATGATCGCCTCCTAACTCTTGAAAAATGAGAACTGCTCCCAACTCCCTTCCCATCACCTCCAGGTGGCTCAATCTAGAGCCATCTTCGACCCACACCCTCCCAAATAATAATAAAAACAATACCAGCTGCGACGCACCAAAGGCTTCCTCACACAACAGCCAGGTGCCTCGCCCTCTACATCTACTACCTTGTCCAACCTTCGCTGCAGCCCCACACCGCGGTTATAACGCGCCCGGTCAGAAGGGAGTCAACCAAGGCGTGGGGCCGAAATCCTGCCATCCATGGGCAGCAAGGCCAGAGTCGGAACCCACACCGGAACCCAGCACCTTGTTAGTGTTACCCCGCTTCCTCAGCGTCCCCCCTCCTAGAGGTCTACTCTACTCAATGGAAGTACTCTCATCACCACCATCACCATCAACCTTCTCTTTAAGAAGGGAGGGGATCTTCTCAACTCTCTCCCTGTGGCAAGTTCCCACCTTTCCTTCCTCCTGCTTCTCTTTCCTGTCAAGATTCTTTTTTTTTTTTTTTAAAGATTTTATTTATTTATTTGAGAGAGAATGAGAGACAGAGAGCACGAGAGGGGGGAGGGTCAGAG